CATGTATAGTCAGAACGAGAAAAGGAAGACAATTAAAGTAAGGCATGCTGACAAAATGAGTCACTTCTCAGATTTTAGCGTAATAGCTATGTCAAATGTATAGGTGGAGACTGTGTAATTTATAAGTATGAAGTAATAAAATTTACTTTATACCTTTATACCTGAAAAAAAATGACATCAATTGGAAAATCTACACCACAGCTTGTAGAACATAGCTTACCTTCAGTAATACAAGCTGGTGAGGTGCACGTAGGTTTCTCTGAAACTGAAGCAAAAAAAGATTGTTTTAATGGTATTGTAAAAATAGACAAGGAACATTATATATTGTGACCACATTGTTACTTCAAAGTGTGTGTTAAAAACACTAGTGTATCATCATGTGTCATAAACAACAAAACAATCAAAAAGCTAACAAACAAACAAACAGTGACACGTTTGGTTTCGAGTCGAATGTGATTTTTTTTTTACAAACCTGTAAAGATCTAAAACGTAGGCAGGTGCAGACTGCATGATATTAATTTTTTTTTAGCTTAAGATCCCTTCCTTGACTGTTTCTTGTTGCAAATTACTTGTAGTGAGTGACGGACCTCGTATGCAAAGGGTGGGAACAATGATTCCCCTGGAAGAATCTGTACTTAGTGTTAATTGCAGTCTATGAGTAGGCCTACAGAAGCGATCAAAAAGGTAAATTATCGGCGGCGGCAACGACTGAGGTTTGTGGGTACGTACATGATGTACTATCTAACGCAGAATGGCCAGAATTAGCTGGAAAACAAAACAAAAAAAAAGACTAACAATAAAAAGTGTCACATTCTCCACACAAGTCACAAGACAAACCCTGCTGTAACAAGATAGAATGTAGAAACATACAATATTTTGGTCACTTAAAACGACACCAGACCACTATCAAACAGGTACTTTACGGAATGATGTAGTAGGACATGAGATTGAGAGCCAGGGGTAGACAGGGAGTAACATGGATGGACAACATTAAAACATGGACTGGCTTGGCTATAGCAGAATGTGCGCCGGCAGCTCGAGACCGTGAAGGCTGGAGGGTCATTACACGTCAACCTCTGAGTCAGAGATGACACCTTCAGATGAACCAGATCTCAACCTCTGAGTCAAAGATGACACCTTCAGATGAACAAGATCTTACAGCATTCGATTGTGTAAACCATCAAATCAATGATGTTGCAAACTGCATTATTAATTAGTCGCTTTAAGGCATAAGGGGGGCCGTCCCGAAAAGTGCTATTTTGAGAAAATGCAAGGTAAGACTTTTACCTCTAGTTCAGTTTCTTTAAAAGACAAGGGAAGTTGTCTCTATAACCAAACAAAAGCACCAATGAAATCAAACTTCTCCTACAGATAGGGCAATGCCCACTTTTGGTGTTCGTCAAGATTTCTGGAAGCTCCGGAAATCTGGATTAGCCCGCTTGTCCTTAAAGGCGACCAATTATCCTGACTATCATTACACTGGAGGTGGGCAAAATCAGTATAATCTATAAGGATAACCGGATAATTCTCAATGAAACACTATCCGAATTTAGACTCGTAACTCTCTTTCCTGGCCCGTTCGCCAAAAGTGGGTCCACCCATTTGTTAAAGCAGAGCTAACTAACCCGTCTGTTGAAGTGGCTCTAACCCATTTGCCAAAGCGGTTCATGTGTGAGTCAGTGTGGTGAAATCAGGCACTCGTCAAAATAATGAAAGTGAAGAAATTGGCATTTTCCCAGCAGGTTGGCGAATTTTTATCGACTTGTTGTTTTCTGGCTCAACACCTTCCATTCCCATTGAAAAACACATTTCTGTGTGGATTTTTACTGAAATAAAAAGTTGATTTAAGGCATAAAACATGTCCATGTAAATTTTAGGTTTCCATGGACACTCAAGCTTAGGAAACAACTAAACTTTGGCGGCCATTTTCTTGCTAATTTTACCCCTGAAACCAGGCGACCCTCACCTCCTTCTATTGCCAATATCTTGACTTGTAACCAAGATGAATGGACGGGTTTTGTTCATCGAAAGCAAGACAAGTGAACAGACTTATGATACCAATAACTCCATATGCCAAGAATTGACGAGAGCCTGATTCCACCACTTCGTGACACATATAATACTATTATTTGCCGAAGAGGTGCACTAGCATATTATCCGGATTTTGCTAAAGCGACCGGTTAACCTGCCTATAATTACACTCACCGGCCACGCCTCTGCCTGCCCGGTCATTCGTTGTCAGCAACATGAAAGCCACAAGGCCAACGACAGCTAGCAAGGCCAGCACCAGCAGAACAATCAGGGCTATGGTCAGTGGAGAGAGCCTCACCTCCCTGTTGTCCCCGTCACTGCATGGGAAGACAAAGTTGGACGCTTAAGTAATACCCCGTGACCTGTTTAGTAATACCCCTTGACCTGTTTAATAATACCCCTTGACCTGTTTAATAATCCCCCGTGACCTTTTTAATAACCCCCCTTGACCTGTTTAGTAATACCCCGTGACCTGTTTAATAATCCCCCGCGACCTTTTTAATAACCCCCCTCGACCTGTTTAGTAATACCCCATGACCTGTTTAATAATCCCCAGTGAGCTTTTTAGTAATATCCCTTGACCTGTTTTATAACCCCCCGTGACCTTTTAGTAATATCCCTTGACCTGTTCAATAATCCTCCGTGACCTTTTTAGTAATACCCTTTGGCCTGTTTAATAATCTCCCGTGACCTTTTTAGTAATATCCCTTGACCTGTTTTATAATCCCCCTTGACCTTTTTAGTAATATCCCTTGACCTGTTTGATAATACCCCTTGACCTGTTTAGTAATACCCTGTGACCTTTTTAGTAATATGCCATAGGCATAGCCTATTTAGTAATATCCCATAGCCTGTTCGGTAATATACCATGGCCTGATTAGTAATACCCCCTGACATTTTTTAAGTAGCATTCAATAGTCTATTTAGTCATGGGATAGCCTGTTTATAATATCCCAGGGCCTCTTTAGTAATATCACATGGCCAGTTTAGTAGTATCACGTGACCTTCTTTTTAGTAATATCCCATAGCCTGTTTAGTGTATAGTAATATCCCATGGCCTATTTAGTAATATCCCGTGAACTGTTTAGTAATGTCCCATAGCCTATTTAGTAATATCCCATGGCCTGTTTAGTAATGCCACTTAGCCTGTTTAGTAATATCTCGTGACCTTTTTCGTAAAGTCCCATAGCCTGTTCGGTAACATTCCATAGCCTGTTTGGTAACATTCCATAGCCTGTTTAGTAATATCGCATAGCCTGTTTAATAATATCACATAGCCTGTTTAGTAAAATCACATAGCCTGTTTGGTAACATTCCATAGCCTGTTTAGTAATATCACATAGCCTGTTTAGTAATATCCCATGGCCTGTTTGGTAACATTCCATAGCCTGTTTGGTAATACCCCATAGCCTGTTTGGTAACATTCCATAGCCTGTTTAGTAATATCCCATAGCCTGTTTGGTAACATTCCATAGCCTGTTTAGTAATATCACATAGCCTGTTTAGTAATATCCCATGGCCTGTTTGGTAACATTCCATAGCCTGTTTGGTAATACCCCATAGCCTGTTTGGTAACATTCCATAGCCTGTTTAGTAATATCCCATAGCCTGTTTGGTAACATTCCATAGCCTGTTTAGTAATATCACAT